ACATTTAAGTGCTAGTGGTATGAGCCAAAGTGAAGATGACGACTGTACCTCATTCAACCACCGAAAAAAAATATCTAGAGTAAGTCATACGATTTTTATGTTTGATATATATATAGTATATATATTATATATACTGAATTTATTCAAATTTATGATTATAATAATGTTCTAATAATGTATTTATTATAATAATGTAATAAAATAAATATTATCAAATTATATTAATTCTTAAATTTACTGCACCAAATGGAATAAAATTATAGGATTCTATGATTAAAAATATAATATATTCTGTTTAGTTTATTATACTGAATATTATTGTTGAGCGCTATAGAAAATGGCAGGTTTTGTGGTTTTTAACATATTAAAATTATTGTTAAAATTAAAAAATTAATTGTAACAAATTATACACGAATATCATGTATACCACTTATTATCATTATAAAAATGAATCAAAATTTTTATAATTATGTTATTTTAAAAGTTTTCACAGCCACGCATTGTACAGTAATATGATACATATTCCAGAATCTTATATGTTTAACAGTATGAAATAATTTTCTACTAATTTACTACTCCTTAATTTAAGTAGTAAAACTGTATATATAGGGAAATATACTAAAACGAACTCTGAATAAAAGTGCTTTCTTAAGTAATAAAAAAGAGTTTATTTATTAATTTTATATTAAAATATATCCTACTAAATTAAGGCATGTCATAGAAATATAAAAACACGTACTAAACAATTATGTTAAGAAATAAATTTTTTATTAATAGAATTACAAAAATTAGTCTTATAATAAAAAGGACTAACAGCTAATCAAAACTTTTATATTTATTTCCAAGTTGAATAGCATCTATTTTCTATTTTTAGTTTATTTTATAAATATGGTTATAATAAAGCATTTTGATTAATTTTAAATTTTATTATAATACAATGTGATTTAATGTTGAACATAAGAAACAAACATTAATAACAACAATAATGTATCAGCTTTTACTTTTAATGTGATCAAATTTATCACAATCTAGATTATGAAAACGTGCTGGACTTTTACTAGTGCGCCAACATAGCTGCCATAGTATTTTGATTCAAATATCAATATATTGAAAATAATAATTTTATTAATAAATAATAAAACACAATTACTAGATGTCACTGATCACCAGTGGCGTACTTATGAGAGGGGACCATGGGATCTGGACCCTGTTGACATCAAATTATGGTAGCGGGGAATAGAAGAGGAGCAAGCTTGACATTTTAAAAGTTGTCTGGATTCACCAAATTTCTCAATTCGCCACTATTAGTCACCAATTTTATTATGATAGGCCACCGTATAAATTAAGGTAGATACAGTAATATAAGACAAAATTTTTTTTATTCACTTTCTAATATTTTAGGAAAATATTTACCCTCGTGTTTTTTAACAATATTATTATTATTGTATTTGACCAGCTTATGTTCGCTTTTTATTTAATAAAATAAATAAGTTAGACAATAATCATATTAAAATGAATTGTTTAAAATTAATTATTAAAAACAAAAGGTTTTCAATTATTACCAATATTTTAAATTTGTAAAAAAAAATATAATGTTTTATTTTATTTAGTGAGTTTCTTAATATCATCATTACGTTTCTAAATAAATTAGTTGAAATAACATAAAATATTATGTTTTCATACAATTTTTACCTAGCATATTAAAAAAATGAACTTCTTTGACAGTTAATTACCCAGAAAAACTAAAAATAGTTAATTTTACGATGCTTAAAAATTCTCATTATTTGCCTGTTGTTTGAATATTTTTAAGTGGATCGACTTGATAATTTTTTTCATCAAACTTAATTACCTAAATATGTAGAAAAAAAGTTGGATGTTAGTAAAAAAATTTTAGAAAGCCTTTAAAATGATTTATTGACTGAAATTTGTTATATTTGCAAACAAATATTTTTAATGAAAATAATCGTAAAAATTAAGTTACAAATGAAACCAAAACGGTTTTCTTTTAAGTTTATGAACACATTATAAAAAGAAAAAATTGCATGCATTTACTGGAGATTTATCAAGCCAAAATTCTAAATGCAAAAAGTATAAAATTTAGGGGCGTCTTATAATTTTGACCACTACTGTAGGATTACCTTAAAAGCATATGTTTTATTATTTATCTCTACTAAGAAAAAATAATTAATTTTTTTCTTCCAAAATTTGATTGTTTGGATATTAACTTTAGGATAAGTATTTATTGAATTACAAGCATTTTAATATATAGAGTGGGTATATAGAACGGGTGGGAACAATTCGTAATAATGTATATTTATAACTCATACTCCCGACTACGCTAAATACCTACTCTATGTTTTAAAATGCTTGTAATTCAATAAGTACTTATCCTAAAGTTGATAATGAACCAATAAATTTTCAAGTAAGAAAATTAAAAAAAATAAATAAATCAATAATTAAATTTTACTTTTTATTATTAAAAATATATAATAAAGAATATATTTTTGACGTAGTCCAAAACTGTACAAATTAAAAGAAAAATAATACTAAATATTTTTTAGATCAAAAGTGAGTAAAGATATAAAAACCTTGTGGGACAACCAGTGTATAAATAAGTAATGATATCTTTATTTACCTTTAAATTTTTGTGCAAATGTAACATAGCACATTTATTTCTTCAGTCTATTCTACATCAATGAGTTAAAATAAGGTTGTTTGATTGGAATATAAATTAGGTATTTTAAAAGAATTTATATTTCGTAAAACAATTTTAATTTAATTTAGGTTCTCAATATTTTATAATTTATAATTGATAAATTAACAAACATGTTAACTGAATTGTATATTTATTTACACCAGTTTACGTATTAATATCCCACACGTGACTTTTATTTTCACTTTTTATTTATTATCACTTGATACCGCCATGTCACGTGAGTTATTGGCCACTACGCGTGACTGGACATTGGCATAATATTGAATAACAGACTACAAAAACATTAACTAACGGTTATTTAATTTTTATTTAATTATTTTAGAGCTTAATTAGGAAATAATCTAAATAATTCTGCCAATAAATTCTATAGTAGAAATTAAAATAAATAATTTATATTCAAAGACGTTTACAAAATAGATTTCGGGGGGAAATAAGCTAAAATATTATAGAATACAAAACATTACTTATATGAAAATTATATCATTATTAAAATAAAAGTAAAATCATAGGACTAAGCTTTTAGAAAATATGTTTCAAAATATTCTACAGTTTGAGTTTTTGCTAAATTTCAGATAATGAAAATAGATTGTTTTATTTTTATATTAAAATAGCAGTTGAGCTTACGTAAATACTTTTTATAGTAAAAATGCAATGTGTTTCAAATAAGGGTCAAGGTGAAAAACTATTTTTAGAATAAATGATGAATAATGGTGTTACGTGACCAAATTATTTATTCTTGCTAAACTTACTTTTAGGATCTATAAAAAACAAAAAATACTTTTTGCTCTGAGAAAAGTCTCGAAAGTTCTGAATGAATGTATTCCTGTTTAATTAAGTTTTCATTTAATATCCCAGTTATTTTTAAATTAAACACCTGTACTAATAATATATTGTTAATATAATGTGTTGAATTTAAATGAATTATATTAAATAAATATTATCAAAAAGCATTTTACAAGATTTAAATTTTAAGTTTTTAACATTTTAACATTTGAATAAATGTTAGATTATTCCAAAAGCTACATGTTGTTTCCTTATTTATATCCTGATTAAGATAAAGTATGTCGAATGAAAGAGGGATGTAAATATTATTTCTCATATAAAAATTGTATTGATCCATACACTTTTTAATAAGTTATAGCATTATAAAGTTAAAAATGTAAAAAATAAAATCGAGAATTTTCACACAAAAATAGCATTTGGTAGCTATTTTCATCGTGATGACAAAATCAAGTCTGAAATTTTTTTTCCCATAATATAGTATATTACATTATCTTTAACTTAAGATATATATAAAAGTGTCAGAATTTCGGGAACACTTTCAAAATTTAAGTTGAAAATGTTAATTTTTTGTGAAAAAGTAATTTTGAATCCTCCCCTTTGGGCAGGTAAAGGGTCTCTAATCATTTTTTTAATGTATACTAAAAAAATTAATTTGGTTGAAAAACCAAATTATTGGATTTTAGATCAAATTGGATGAACTACTTTACTAAATATATGAAAAATGTCCATAAATCAAAAATATTTCGGATCCTAGCCTTAGCTCTAGTACTTCACAAGTTAATTACAATTGAAGGTGTTATAAAGAATGTTGGTGTGTATATATAATGTTGAGAATCGTGCTAAGTGAAAATTTAGAATACGATGGCCTACCCCAAGTAGTTAGGATAAAGGCGAAGAAGAAAAATACTTTAAAAGTTAGTTTAGGTAGATTGTTAAAATAAAAAGCAATATTTAAAATTTTTTACTACAACAATATTTCTATAAAAGTATACGTAAATACTATTTTTGTTTTTATTTATAAAAAAATACAAATATTAAAAAAAAAAAATTGTATTCAATATTTTATTTATAATTTTATTTTTAATAATTGTGCTATTAGTTTAATATACATTATGAAAATGCCATTTTTTATACAGAGCAATTATAAAAATCAAAATCTGAAGAAAAATTGGCGTGTTCATTATTGGAAGAATTATACATAAAAAATTGAAATGCATTGTAAATGAAAATGTACCTTTAACGGGTGAATATTTTTATTGTAAAAAAGGTTTAACTTCTAACAACCCTTAAACACTTCTTGACTCTTTGAAAAAATTAATTTTAGTTTTTGTATTTGTTTTCGTGAATTTATACTTTCAAAAAAAATTATAATCACATAGATATTTTATGCACAATTATTATATTAAAATGAACAACCTAATATGTTTTTTTATATCAAACTACTATTAAATATTTTTATTCTATCTACTATAACTTATACACTCAATTATTTTATTTAAACAAAATTTTACCAAGTTTAATGTTAATTAATGTACTGTATCACGTTTAAAGCAATGTGCTTGTCACCCCGTCGAGGTTGTTTTTAATGTTCAGGTTATACAATATTTATTGTGCACACATTTTCATGATAGAAAATAAGAGAATAACGTGAAAATGAATAGCTAACAAATTATCGTAAATAACTGACAACCGCTTGAAAAACACGTGCACTAAGAACGTGTAAAGGGCGAAACTTACCAATTATGGTACAAAATGTTAAATGGTAACACTGAATAACGACGCTATAGTTTCGCGACTGAACTATCTTGATGGCAAGTCTATAAGCTGTACCCGTCATTGCAGACTAATCAACCGTTAATCTATGTACCTTGAATGTTTTCTTTTTTGTCCGTCGTCTCAACCAAGAGACAAAAACGAGACTTTGCCTTATACTTTTCTACCCTTTAAGCCATACTCAGATACTGGTGTACAATAAAAAGGTTATTAATTTTATGAAAATTGAACTTAAATATTAAACTGCTTATTTAGTTCGATTTATATTACGAAAAAGTGCAAAAGTATGCTTGAAGAACAGTTTGATTTGAACCTTCACCAACCAAAAACTAAAGAGGTACTTGATATTTTATACTTATTCAATTATTTTTAAAAAATAAACCAAAATGATTTAAATAAGTCGAAATAATTTAAATATTTATGAAATTTAACTAAAATAAGATTTTGCTATACTTGAATTAAAATATCATTAAAATTTTTTTCCTATTTTAATTCTTTTTTAAAAACTAAACTTTTAGAAGTCTATCTAATTGAAACGGATAATAAACAAGTTTTTTAATTACCTTTGGTATTTAAAATAAAATAAATATACAGCTTACTTTAATTGACCCTTAATATTAATTTAACTCTATTATTTATAATAAACAATTTCACATACAAATATTTGATATTTATAATCAATCAACTTTTATTTTGCAGTGATCAATTACAATTGTATAAATAGTTGCTCACTAACTGACAAAGAAACATAACGTTTATATTTTTTTTAAAGACAAATTATGTGTTGTAAACACTGATAACATTGAAATTAATAATGGTATAGAAACAAAAAACACTTGTCAAAATATTTCATAATGTCTTTTAATTGGACTACTAATCTTTAAAGTTTTAATTATATACATAAAAATACAATATGTAATAATTAATAACATGTGATTTTCAGATTTTATATTCTGTCATTATTTTCTATAATGAGTATATAAATAAATATCAACTATAAATCACATTATACAGGATTAAAATTTAAATAACAATAATTAAATATAATTTGTAATAAATTGTTGTTACTTATTTTTCTACTTCTCCTTTCTAATGATTAGAAAACTTTTTTCATAGGTTTTTTTTATAGCTTAGTAAAAGTTGATCTAGATTTTTATATCAGTTAATAAAACACTTAAAATAATAATAAATATCCATTAATCTATAAAAAAATTGATACCTGTAAATTCCCGTTCTTTATTGTAAAATATGTGTGTTTGTAAGAATTTAGCAACACTGTGTGCAATGGTTCAAAAATAAACAATCACCTATTTTTGAGTGTTCTTAATTTCATTAAAAAAGAAAATAAGCAATATCCTCTGCTTTAGAATATACCTAAAAAGGTTCGATGAATAATTACATGTATCATGCTGTTTAAAGATATATCATATTCTTAATAAATATTTTCTACGATGATAATATATTTAAGTTACCAAAAAATAGTATGTAATGTACTACTATAAAAATTGTTAGTGTATCATTAAATAATGTATTCATCAAAACAATTAACATAAAACGTTTTCTAACCACGTGCAGCCAACTCGGTGTGATAATAAACATAATATAATATTATTCCGTATTGAAGATGTTCAACGAGATGTAAATTATTAACATTCTTTGAAATTGTATTCGGTACTTCATTAATTGCTTTGATGTATTTCATCTGTACATTAAGTATAAATCAAATTGATTTCATGAAACATCATGTAGGGTAACGGCACCACCAGTCATTGGCACACTAACCAGTTTTTGACAAAAGAGTTTAATACTTAATAAATAATTTATTAAAGTTTTAAATAATATTTTGATTTTTAAATTGATTATGAAACTTAATAAGGAAAACATTGTTTCCAAAAACTGGTAAATGCCAATGACTGTTAACGTTATTCTAATTGTGTAAACAAATGTGAATAAAATTTTTGAAAATTATTTTAATTAAATATGATTTAAAGTTTACTCAATTTGTATTAAGTTAAGCGTATACATAATATGTGTAACTTAGACCTAAGATTTTAGTGGTATATTTGTGTACGATAACTACAATTATCGACCATCTATCGTTAAAAAACTATCGTACATCAAACTTGGTGCTTTGAAACATGGATAGCCATCTAAAATGTTCAACTTTTATAAATGAGTTTCGATCACGTTGTTAGAGGAAGAACGTGATCACTGGCATCTTGCACACAGTTTTTCGTATTAAACAGGGCTGCAACAACAACGCGACAACGTGATCACCTACGTTTGGGTCGTTTACTCATCACGTGGTAACTAAAGACAGCTATAGTATTAATAGTCAATAAATGTCTGAAACGTGATCATAATTGATTCAAAATGCCGTTTCATTCTTAGTGTATGAATATATTTTTTTTTTTGCCTTAATTTTAGTATTTCTTTTTATCTCGAGATTAATGAATTCACTATCACATAGTTTATTAAATTAAATAATATACAGTACCCAAAATAATTAATTTTTTATTTTCTATATTTATTAAACTATATAGGACCCGATGTCCCACCGAATTATTGAAAAACGACGACGTGACCGTATGAATAGTTGTCTGGCGGATCTGTCTCGATTAATTCCTGCAGAATACATGAAAAAAGGCCGTGGGCGTGTGGAAAAGACTGAAATTGTGGAAATGGCCATCAAACACATGAAACATCTTCAATCACACGTGTCACTATCTGGTAAGATTTTAAAACCCTTTTAATTCAACCATTATTCTAAAAAAAAAAATTAATAAAATATTTCAGGTTGTTTTCAACCATGTGATAAAAAACAACAGGAATCTGATAATTTAGAAAAACCACCACCACCACCAGAGTCAATGGAAAAATCTATGTTGATTACAGAACAATATAAAATGGGATTTTTCGAATGTTTAACTGAAACAATGCAGTATTTAGTTGAAGGGCATGGTTATTCACCTAGACATGGTTTATGTTTATCACTTATCAATCATTTACAAGAACACTGCGCCCAAGTCATCAAATGTAAGCCAATTAATTGAATATTAATTTCAAAAAAAAAGATTCCACATTAGAACTTTTAATTTGAAATTATTCAACTTGTTCAATTTTTTTGAATTAATTTTTTTGTCGCTATTATACACGTATCACAATTCAAACCATTAGTTGTGGTAATAAGTTAATTGTATTATTTTTTTCTTATTATAATCAAGGAAATATTTATTAATAAGATTATATGTCAAAAAAAATGCATTAATATGATTTTATAGTCTTGCCCATTGATACTCGGTGGAGGGGTAGAAGTTACCATGTACTACCTGGGATTTTCTATGTCACTAACAAAACTAAACCGAAACATACAATTATAGCTACCAAATCTTATAATTATAATTTTAGTTTTTGACAACGTAAAATAGTTTCACCATTACTTAAATAATTCTAAAAATCAGAAACGTTATTTGAGGGAGATAGGTCGGCTTTAACGACAAACAATATGTCGTTATTATTCATTTTTCATTAATCATTACACTTTTTTTTTTGCATTTTACGATTCCAGTCATACTTTATAGTTATAACGTTATAAAAACTGTTTCATGATCTGATTAAAATAAAACCGCGATTACGCAAATTCCTTTAAAAATGGGGCATCTTGGTGTTGGGTGTAATTTTTAGCTTCGTTTTGTGGCTGAGAAGGTATTAATTTTACTATGATGTGTTTTTTTTTTGTCTGTTACCACTCAATCTCAGCTCTCACTGGACCGATTTTTATGAACAATACGTCAAAAGATTACAAATCGTATCTAGTCGAAGATATTACCCTTAAAAATTGAAAAAATTCCCTCGTTCCTCGAAACGGGAGAAATCCCACAAAAAATTACAATTTTAAAAATCGCTAATTTTCGAAATTTTTTCAATTTTTTTTACTTAAAACTGCCATAACTTTTTTAGTAATGATTATATCAAGATAATTTTTTTTTCATAGATGCATAATGTCTTTACCTATTATTTGGTATATATTTTTTATACATTTGACCCTTTACCTATCTAAAATTTATTTCATACTAAATTTAATTATTATAATTATTTTTTATTCATATATTATAATTATAAATCAAATAACTAATCGGCATAAAATTAAGGGAATAAGAGAATAAGGATAAGGATAATAAAATCTACAGATTTTAAAGCTTTTCTTATGATAGTAATTTTAATCATTGTCAGATATCATCTATACTTGTCTTAAATATACCACGTCCATAATGTGACGCGACCCTCCTCTGTGCTACTGTTTTTCAATATTAATTTTACTTTATAATTTTAGTTTATTATTGTGAACAACTAAGAGTAACTTAAAAGTTACTCCACCATATCAAAGATATCCCAATTTACGGAATATAAAAATATTTGACTGAAATGTACATACTTATATAGAAACTGAATGTATAAAGTAGATCAAAAGTTAATTATTCTTTTGAAATTGGTTGAATTACCTTATGTTTGCAATATAAATTAATAATTGTATTGATAATTTTTAGCTTCGATGCGAAGCTGAGAAGGTATTGGTTTTACCAAGATGTGTTTTTTTTTTTTTTTTTTTTTTTTTTTTTTTTTTTCC